TTCTTTATGCATGGACCAAAGGGTAAAGAATAGGTATGCTCCTATTTGACACAATATAATTTGAACTAATTCACTTTATCCATTCACTATAACTTCTTAACAAGGAGAATGATGTTTTCTTATATATTCAATATCACATTCGTACCTTCATTAGTATATTTAGTTATTTAATAGTTAAAATCACATATTTATTTCAATTGTCTATTAGTGACAGATAAGCAAATTGACTTCGTTGTTGTGATTAAAGTATTGCTTTTCTAAAATCTTAGTTTATAGTTCTAATCTTACTCCCTGTGGGATCGATATCTAGGACTCCATTAGAGCCCTATATTACTTGAGTCATACGTATACTTGTGTTGATAAGTGTGACTTTACAATTATTGAATATTTATTACGTCCATATTTATCGAATCTATAGTTGTTATTAAGTTTTGGTACCGTTGCTGAGGAATTAAATCTTTTAGCAGCAGTATTAAATACTTTTATTTTTAAGCATATATAAAGTCGCGGTCACCCGCTCTAGACCTGCAGGCTCATCATGCAAGCCCACTAACCAGACCTGCTAGCAGCCCTGACCCGACCTGCCATGAGCCTTGCCCAAAAATGGGAGGACAACTAATATGTTATCAACAATTTTTCATTATCTGACAGTAATCTTAAGGTATGACATAAACCATAAAAAAACTTGTTAAGCAAGATGTGTTCAAATTTTAATTAAAAATCATTCATAATTTCAGTTTTAGCAAACTTATAGTCAAATTGAACAGCTTCATGAGACAGAACTAATCATACCAAAGTTGGTATAATTCATGTCAAATCAAGCCCATATCAAGTTATTTAACTGCTTTTAGAAGCTTTGAGTACGTAATTGGAATGTCAAACAAATTTTGAATCTAGCAAGCTTAAGATCAAAATGAGCCTTTTGACAAAACGAGTCTAATAAGACTAAGATCGCTCAATTCTAAAATCATTAAGGCACTCACTTGTTCACTAAATGCCATTTAATTAAGGTAATCTCTTTGGGTCGTCTAGTGGAGTGGTTTGAATTTCTTTCTTATTTGCAGAGAGACGTATGGAATAATATATAAATATTGTTCTCCATCCCTATTGGGAGGGGATCTTGACCTACAACCAGCAAAAAATCGGAGCTTGGAGAACACGGAGCTGAAGCCGAACATCATTTATGCATTGAAGTTTCAGCTAATTCTCCACGTTCCTACAGCTGCTGACCACTATCTACCACCTTTGGCCACCCTCTACTATTGCTCACCATCGTTTGCCACCTGGTCTTTGCAACGAAGTCTCTTATATATATATATATATATATGCATAAAGTGCTGTTGACCTCACTTTTGGTTGAGGTCTAGAAAACTTCTTTAGTAGCCTAGGTCTAGCCATAGGACTTTCCTATTGACTAGTCTTAGAAAATTAGAAGAGGTACCCCACCATTAGAAATTCAAAAAAA